GACGGTCCCGTAGATACCCAGATCCTAAGCCATGTAGGGCTTTAAAGATTGTCATAGGTTAATTACTTAAATGAGAACTAAGGCAGGCTGTGCTTTTGTATATATTTTGTATTATTCTTTTATTTAACAATCCCTCTCTGAATTGTTTTATGAATAAGGATGGAGGCTTTTGTTAAGGCCACTAAGGTAAAGGTAAAGGTTCCCCTCGCACATACTTGCTAGTCGTTCCTGACTTTAGGGGGCAGTGCTCATCTCCGTTTCAAAGCCGAAGAGCCAGCCCTGTCCAAAGACGTCTCCTTGGTCATGTGGCTGGCATGATTAAGGCCGAAAGCGCACGGAACGCTGTTACCTAAAGGTGATCCCTATTTTTCTACTTGCATTTTTACATGCTTTTGAACTGCTAGGTTGGCAGAAGCTGGGACAAGCAATGGGAGCTCACTCCGTTACGTGGCGCTAGGGATTCGAACCACCGAACTGCCGACCTTCCTGATTGACAAGCTCAGCGTCTTAGCCACTGAGCCACCACATCCCTTTAAGCCCACTAGTACACTCTGTTTAGTCTTCTCTCAGTGGCAGAATATTTTTGAACTTTGAATCTCTTACTCGCAAAACCCATCTTCCATCACTGACTTTGTTATGAATAGCGTAAATTAAATTTTGATCTCACTTTTTCCTGATTATTACAGATACAAACGTTTGCCTAGTTTTCCAACCAACAGGTTCTCTTTTCATTATAAACCCATTACAGATAATTATGTCTTTGCATGTTTATTACAAATGCTTTATTTGTGACCAAATCAAGAATTGGGGGGTGGGGGTGGGATGGTAGTGATACCAGGCATATGAAAATCTTGTTGAAAAGAAGCATGGAGAAAATAAATGTTGTCAAATAAAAATTGTGCATTTCCAGAATAGAAAAAAAAAAGCTTTTTAAAAAAGGCAGCCCATACAATTCATTTTTTAGTTCTTTACCTCCACCTCCTCCCTTAGGGCTTTCTTATTTTAGAACATTAAAATCTCCTTCCAAACAAGCTTGATGCTTAACAACTACATGGACATATCCATGTTCACTTCCTGTATTGCTGCCTCTTGGCAGCAATACAGAATTCTAAGATTCTCCCCCCCTCCCCCACAATATCCTAGTTTAATTTATAACGCTGAGATTTCCTGGCGAATTCCAATCCAAGAACTGGAAGAGATCAACTAGATGTAGTGATGCTGGTTTTACTGCGAGAGGAGAAATTATATGTATCTCTTTCCTTTCCTTTAGATGCATAGTCTATAAAACACTACATTCCCGTGTAATTAATTAAATATCCACTTTTACAGCTAACATATCCAAATATACCTTCCTTCTCCTATTTCCCCCAAAACAACAACCCTGTGAGGTAATTTGGGCTTGAGAGAGTGTCAAAGTCACCCAGGTGACTTTCATGGCTAAGGAGGAACTTGAACTCACAGTCTCTGTCTTTTTAGCCTGGTGCCTTAACAACTAGACCAGTGATGGTGAACTTTTTCGGCATTGAGTGACCAAACCGCAACATGTGCACGCATATGTGTGCACCAGAACACCAGAAATCTGAAGACCAGGCGGCTGGCATGTGCATGGCGCACCGGCCAAGTGGTTTTTGGGTTTCCGGCGCTCTGGCATGTACAAAAACCAGCTGGCCAGTATATCCATGCGCATGCTGGAAATCAGAAAAGCAGCTGGCAATGGCACATGTGCCAAGAGAGAGGTCTCTGCGTGCCACCTCTGGCACGCATGCCATAAGTTGGCCATCACAGCACTAAACCAAAGTGGCTGGTAATGATTGAAAATGTAGTACAGAATTGAGCAAGTATTTATTTTAGACATGAAAGAGTTAAACTCTTTCTGTTCTAGTCTATGAAACAAGGTATAGAATGGGGTGACCTTTCTCATCTTCAATACACCAAAATATATATATATATATATTCCTTAACCTTGGGTGGTCTTATCTTTGGCAAGAGGAGATAAAGCACTCCAAGGACAACATCAGATAAACTTATCCTCCTTTCCTTTGGCAAAAAACAGAAGAGACAAAAGTTATGTGTGATCCAGATATGATTCATTATGGAGTCTACACCTCCAAGTGGTGGAAGATCATTACACATATAATTGGAAATATGAGAGGGTCTGCTCCCCAACATACCTTTGGAGTTTTCTGACTGGCAGAAAGGACATAAAGTTTAAAAAAAAAAAAAAAAAAAATTATTCATTAGTGCACTGTTTCTCAACCTTGGCAACTTGAAGCAGTGTGGACTTCAAGTCCCAGAATTCCCCAGCCAGCAAGAAGAGAATGACTAGCAGTAAAGTGGCTGGACTCGAGTACAGTGGCACCACTGGAAAACTTCAAAGGCCATTTTATGAATAAGTCTTCCTGGAGAAAAACTATCTACCGTATTTTTTTGGAGTATAAGGCGCACCGGAGGATAAGACGCACCAAGGTTGTGAAGAGGCAAATTTAAAAAAAAAAGTTTTTGCACTCTGCAAACCTCCCCAAAACAGCCTGTTTTTCATGAAAATGGACCTGTTTTTTTTTTCTTTCAAAAAAAGGGCATGAATAGCTCTTAGGAGGCTTGTAGAGTGCTCCTGGGGTGGTGGGGGCCCCATAAATGAGCAAAAAAGGGCACATTTTCCCCCAAAACGGGCCCGTTTTTTTGCAAAAAATGGGGAGGGCATGGATAGCCTTTAGGAAGCTTATAGAGTGCTTCTGGGGCCTGGGCAAAATGGACCATTTTTTGCTCATTTCTGCTCTGCTTAGCCCCCAGGAGCTCTCTGAAAGCCTCCTAAAGGCTTTGCACGGCCATTTTGGTGAAGAGGGCGGGGTTTCGGGAGGCCAAAAATGCTGTATTCAGTGTATAAGACGCACCCAGATTTTCAGCCTCTTTTTTGGGGGGAAAAGGTGCGTCTTACACTCCCAAAAATACGGTATGTCAGAGGTGCCAAACTGGCGGCCTGCAGGCCGGATACATCACATGCTGGTCACGCCCACACCTCAGTTTAGTGAAGGGGGGGAAAGTCACGATATGTCATATGACGATGTGATGATGCAAGTTTGACACCCCCAATCTATGTGGTTGCTAGGAGTCAAAAATGATGTTGTTTCCTGAGAACAACTGATAGGGATTTGCAAAAGCAGAGGGATCTTTCCAAGGCCTATGCAAAGGTCACTCCCAACAGTAACCTGTTTCCCGGAAAATAAGACCTCCCCGGATAATAAGCCCAATTGGGCTATTGAGCGCATGCACTATAATAAGCCCTCCCCCAAAAATATTAAAACACAGCAGCAGCCACAAGGTGACCACACTCACCGCCTCCTGCACCTCAAATAATAAGCCAAATGCTTACTTTGGGGGTCAAAAGAAAACAAGGCCCTGTCTTATTTTCAGGGAAAGACGGTATAGTTAGTCCTCAACTTACGACCACAATTGAGCCCAAAATTTATGTTGTTAAGTGAAAATGTTGTTAAGTGAATTTATCCCATTTTACAACTTTTCCTGCCGCATTTGTTGAGTGGATCACTGCAGTTGTTAAATTAGTAACATGGTGGTTAAGTGAATGGGTTCTCCATTGATTCAGCTTGTGAGAAGGTCGCAAAATGAGATCACATGACCCTAGGACACTGCAACCGTCATAAATATGAGTCAGTTGTCCAGCACCTGAATGTAAATCACATGACCATGGGGATGCTGCAAGAAGCGTCATCAGTGTGAAAAATGGTAAGAAGTCACTATTTTCAGTGCCATCGAATGGTTACCAAATGAATTGTTGTAAATCAAGGACTATCTGTACAGTCCACCTAAAGCCCATCTTAAGCCAGCTCCTCTCAGATCATCTTATGACCTTATCAAGGCTTATTAATATTGCTTACTTTGCATTTGCAATGTCTAGCGATCATCAGCACATTTGCCCCTAATTTCCAGTAACAAGTAGCACAGCAACCCCCCCTCCCCTCCAAAAGTTCCTCTTTTCACACAGCATAGCATTACTTTTACATATTCAGCGAAAATATTTATATTTTAGCACAATCGTCTAGTTCAGAATGTATTTTAAGCAGAGATTTGAGAGTCACAATAGCCCTGGAGATACTATCTAGTTTGGGTAATGAAACATCTGCAAGAAAACAAGCAAGGACCCCTCATATCAACCCTCAGCTACAAATATTCTCCTTTATTAGTACCCCAGATTTCCTGTTCACGCCTTGTCTACATTTGGGGTCCTGTCCAGGGGTGGGTTTCTCGCCCCATTCCAACCAGTTCGGTTGGAAGGGGGCTGGTGGCGTCCTCGTGCACGCGCGCAGTGCATGCATGCGTACTAGCATATGTGCGATGCTCCAGCTGCTCCTGGAGGATCGCGCAGCCGCTGTATGCGTCCTGCACATGCGTGGAAGCGCAGAACTCGTCAAAACCGGGTAAGGAGCGCGGGCGGGTGGGCCCTTCGCCGTTCCCGGAAGTTACTTACTTCTGGGTTCGCCGACCAACCGGTTCGCAGGGACCGCCACGAACCGGTTGAAACCCACCCCTGGTCCTGTCTCAGCAAGTGTTTGCTAGGGATTTAGCTAGCAAAATTGTTTTTATTCCTCTCTATGCAAGAACCATTAGCTAACTTCAATTTGAATTTGAATTTGAATTTAATAAAATTTATATGCCGCCCAATCCCGTAGGACTCCGGGCGGCTTACAAATACAATGCTGCGATGGTTGTATCCACATAAAGGCCAAGGAAGCCAAAGTTAGGAGAGGGTCCTAGAATACAGAGATTTCTAACCTTTCCTCCACATCTCCAATCAATAAGCATTTCTCATAGTAATGGATGTACAAGCACACAAAGCCAGACTAATCTTCTACATTCATGGCTTCCATTCCAGAATTCAACAGACACAGCCATCATCAGAAGGAAGCAAGGCTAAATTATACATCGTACCCAGCTGTAAATATGAATTAGCTTCTTTCAATCTTCTATAAGACTTGCAATCTGGAATGGCGGCATCTGCGGTATGATCTAAGCACAGTGTACAAAATTGTCTGCCTTACCTGTCAATGAGTTCTTCAGCCTCAACCCTGCAGTTCGGCTGTTCAAATCTCACCGGCTCAGGGTTGACTCAGCCTTCCATCCTTCCGAGGTGGGTAAAATGAGGACCCGGATTGTTGTTGGGGGCAATATGCTGACTCTGTAAACCGCTTAGAGAGAGCTGAAAGCCCTATGAAGCGGTATATAAGTCTAACTGCTATTGCTATAATACACTGGCAAACAATCGATACAAACTCAAGGTAAACCGCTCCAAACTTGATTGCAGAAAATATGACTTCAGTAACAGTGGTCGATGCCTGGAATGCTCTACCTGACCTCGTTGTTACAGCCTCAAACCTCCATAGCGTCAACCTTAAACTGTCTACCGTGGACCTCACCCCATTCCTAAGAGGTCCGTAAAAGGGGCATGCATAAGTGCCCACCGTCCCTGTCCTACTATCCCCATCTATTTATATTCATTTCTTTTGTTTATATCCATGTTTATATTTATACCTGCTTTCTTGTACATGTTTGACAAACTAATAAATACAAATACAAATACTTGTTTCTTTGGGTTGAAACAGCTGCCTCTCGGAAAGACCAGGAGGAGGACAAAACAGGAGATTAACCCCATTATGTCCCACTTATATGGAATTCAAACGCCGTTTTTCTGTATTCCGTTACAAAATGCTGAAGTTTGTTTATAGACCATCCTGTGCATTAAATTCACATGCAAAATGCAAAGCGTCAGTAACATTATTAGGCAAATAATTTCTAATCCCTCCCTAGTCAACCTCCAGGTTTTTTTTTTTCTCTTGTCCAAAGGGGGAAAAATATTTGACTAAAAAACATTTCTTTGAAAAAAATATGGTGAATATGCAGACTAAGAAAAAAAAAAGCCTGGAGCGACAGTGAGTACAAATTCTTGCTTTATGCTTCCTTTATGCCTATGATTTGGGGAAAAGGGGAGAGGGAGGTTATACTAATAATGCGACCCGCCCCCCTCCAAACACACACCAACAATCCCATTTCTTGTTAATTCGGAGTTATAAAATATGAAGGTAAAATGGACCTGGCTCGATTCTGAGATTGGTTAAACGCAGGTATCAGAAAAAGATCCCGGCTCTTCCCTCGTTTTGTGATTCAGATCTGTGTTTCTCGCCCCCCCCCCCAGGACGCGCGGACTTCAACTCCCAGAATTCCCCAGCCAGCATGTTCGTTAGTTTGGCTGGCTAGGGAACGCTGGAAGTTGAAGTCCACGTTTCTGGAAACGTGCGGGTGACGAAGAAAACCGGGAGGCCGGTTCTCCATTGAAGGAGAGCCGCCTTCCGCGGACATGCCGACCAAGCGATCGGAATCTCCTGCCACTGTAATCCCGACGGCGCCTTGTTTTTCCAAAGGCCTCAGGTTCAATTGGGAACCGGAAGGGTTAGGTGTGTGTTCCTGCCTATTATTTCAGAGGTCTTTCAAACTTGGCAACTTTAAGACTTGTCGACTTCAACTCCCAGAATTCTCCAGCCAGCATAGCTGGCTGGAGAATTCTGGGAGTTGAAGTCCACAAGTCTTAAAGTTGTCCATTTGGGGACACCTGTATTAGCTATTCTTAGTCCCTTGGTCTAGATTCGACCCATCTATTTCTTCTAAGCAGTGCCCCACTCCCCATGCGTGGGTTCCCTGCATAGGATTGGGATTATAAATCTGTAGAGCTTCCCAGTGAGAAAAAGAGCATTTTAAAAAAAAGATTTAGACATTGCAAAGCCCCAAAACTACACCATCATGTTTGCTAAGATGCAAAGATCCAGAGGGCAATTTCTAAGGGTGGGAGGGTGTGCCCTACAGACAGTCCTCGATTTATAACCTTTAGCGACTATTGGAAGTTACAACAGCCCTGAAATCATCGCCTGTCCTCCAGTCAGAGCCGAGGAAGCTTCTTTTGGATGAGAAGCCAAACGTCTTCTTGTGGGAGCTTCATCACTGGAGGCTTCCAAGGAAAGACTGGACTGCCATTTGTCGTGGCTGGTGTAGAGTCTCCTGCTTGAGCGGGAGGGTTGGACTAGATGACCTACAAGGTCCTTTCCAACTCTGTTAATCTAGCTATTAATACTGTCCCAAAGGTGCTTTTTCAGGAGGCAACTGGACTTTCTTTTCTTTTTTTCCTTTTCAAGACGTTTCGCTTCTCATCCAAGAAGCTTCTTCAGCTCTGATTCCCCACTATCCTGTCAGAGCTGAAGAAGCTCTGTTGAAGATAAACTTCAATCACAGAAACCTATAAAGATCCATCCACTCATTCAACCAGTTGGTCAGATGCCCCAGAACCACAAACCCTGGTGGTTCTGCTTCATCAATAAACAGAATCTTTCTTTTCAATCAACCTTCATGTTATTATTTCCTGTGTCTTCCTCCCAGCTTGGAACTGAACCAGATGGATTTTTCTTCCAACACCCATTATACAGATAAACAACAATGAGATTGAGGTAAAGGTAAAGGTTCCCCTTGCACATATGTGCTAGTCGTTCCCGACTCTAGGGGGTGGTGCTCATCTCCATTTCAAAGCCGAAGAGCCAGCACTATCCGAAGACGTCTCCGTGGTCATGTGGCCGGTATGACTAAACGCCGAAGGCACACAGAACGCTGTTACCTTCCCACCAAAGGTGGTTCCTATTTTTCTACTTGCATTTTTACATGCTTTCGAACTTCTAGGTTGGCAGAAGCTGGGAGAAGTAACAAGAGCTCACTCCATTACATGGCACTAGGGATTCAAATGGCCAAACTGCTGACCTTTCTGATCGACAATCTCAGCGTCTTAGCCACTGCGTCCCCTATGAGATTGAGAGACAATGATTGATGGAAGGGCAGCCATAAATTCTTTCATTTTAAATTTTGATATTGTGTAAAAATAAAAAGAACTTAGAATCCTTAATGAGTTACTGAAAATTACTCCAAATCCTCTATCTCACCAATAAAGCCTGTTACTACCACCCAAGCATGTTGTAACAATTATATCCTCATTGAGACCAGGGAAACTTGAATCCACACCTCCAGATGTGAAGCTTTATTAGATGGACTTAGGGCTGTAGCTCTGCCTTAGGCCAATCCACTTCCCAAGACTATTTTGGAAATAAAAAGGATTTAGGGAAACATTAGACGTTGCTGTCTTTTGGGTGGGGAGAGATAGTTAAAGACAAAAGGTGATCTTTTATCTAATTTGAGTCTGTTTTTCTGTATGGCTAACCCTTTTGCCATCATTTGCCAAAAATGGGGGGGAGCATAGGGAGGTCGTGTGTGGGTGTGGCCACACCCATAATTTTATGCATGTGAAACACACACACCCCTGTGCATGCGCACGCGCCACCCCCTCTGCTTTTGGCACAGGATGGCACGATGGACCCGTTTTTCACCTTCCCAGGCTCCAGAGGCTTTCTAGGAGCCTGGGGAGGGTGAAAACGGCCTTCCCGCCTCCCCCGGAAGCCCTCCAGATGCTTCAGGAGGCTTCTCTGGAGCCTCCAGAGAGCAAAAAATGTTGCAATGCGCAAACTGGAAGTCTGTTCCCAAACTTCCGGTTTGTGCATTGGGTTGTTTTTCACCCCCGGGAGGCTTCAGGGAAGGCTTTGGAGGGCAAAAACCAGCTGAAAAAGAAGACTAGCTGGCCAGCGCATCCCATAGGTTCACCATCACGGGTCTAATCTATGGATTCAACTAGCCATTCTTATCTGAGAGGACTATGACTTCTAGCACTAGAGAGGTCTTGGATCTAATATAGCCATGATGTAATGCACAAAAACAAGTAAAGAGAAAACAACCTGAATCCCAACCTGTACGAAAAGACTTGTTCCTAGTTTATATAATAAGTTGTCCATCACTAAGGTAACTGGAAACCTAAGTTCTGGAACTTTCTTCTGTGACATCTGTTCAGAGGGAGAATTTAATTTAAAAAAAAAAAGGTTTAGCACCTTGTGCCCGGGTTCACAAATTGTGCTCTTCGGCTTGTTTTACAGGTAGTTCTCCACTTACAACAATTCACTTAGTGACCATTTGAAGTTACGACGGCATTGAAAAAAAGGGACTTAGCATTTTTCACACTTAATGACAGTTACAGCATCCCCATAGTTATGTGATTTACATTTGGATGCTTGATAACTAGTTCATATTTACAACGGTTGCTGTGTCCCGCGGTCATGTGATCATCTTTTGCAACCTTCTGAGAGGGGAAGCCAGCTTCACTTATGAACCCTGTTACTAATTTAACAATTGCAGTGGTTCATTTAACAAATGTGGCAAGAAAAATCATAAAATACGGCAAAGCTCTCTAAACAAACTTTTCCCTTAAATTCTGGGCTGAGTTGTGGTGATAATTTGAGGACTACCTGTAATTACATTCACACAACATGCTAAAACATAAACTACGGCTAACAAACTGCAGGTGGCCCTTGTTGTGGGAAGAGAGCCACCGTAGTTTAGGATAGGTTAGTTTCTCAATCTCAGCAGTATTCATAGGCATGGAGATCAATTCCTAGGATTTCCCAGCCTGCATGCTGGGTACATAGTCCGTATATCTTAAAGTTGCTGAGGTTGGCAAACACTGATTTAGGATAACCAAAAATCAGAGACTATTAGCACCTTTCCAACAAATTTTAATAAGGAGCATAACTTCTGTGAGTTGCAATTCATCGTAACGTGCTACTAGCCTCCTCCTGATTTCTGGCATTTAAAAAAAAAATTACCCTTTTGAAAGTTTTCAACACTTTCCTTTATTCTAGGAGCGTCTCTCAGTACAGAACCTCAGTTAGGTTTCTTTAATTGCTGAAGTGACAAGGACATCTAGTGATCGTAGATATTAATACAATGTCATTCAAATTCTTAATTACATAGTGGGGATTTTTACCAGTGGTGGGATTCCAAAATGTTAGCAAACAGTTCTCTGCCTGGTTGCTGGGTAGGCGTGGCCAGGGTAGGTGTGGCCTACTCCACGGTGTATACGGTGGGAGGTGGGGGTGTTCACCCTACCCAGGCTCTGGAGGTTTCCCCGAAAGTTAGTATCTGGTTCACTCAAACTGGCTGAATCCCAGCCCTGATTTTTACGAGGATTAGATCAGAAGTTATCT